AGCATATATGCGTGTATATATGCGTGCACACACAAACATTTATTTATATTTATGTATATGTACCTATCTGTAAATGATATTAGGTTAAATATTAATTGAAATAAGGAACAGAAAATTAAATAATTTTTCCAATCAAAAAAAGGGAAATAAATTTAGTTTAAAAAAAAAAAAAAAAAAAAACCAAATCACTTATTAACTTATTCCGCCTATTTTTATAATAATAATAATAATATTTTTTTGTTTTTCACTCTCACTATCTCTATCCTCCCTTCTTTTTCTTCTTCTTCTTCTTCCTCATTTGAATTTTATTATTATTATTGTGTGTACGTATCCTCATTTTTTTTTTTTTTTGTGTTTTCCAGAAGAAATATAGGTATGTTTCCAACGGTCAAATCATGGCGGAATATTATCTCATTGGATTTTTTATTTATCGGAACATCTATCTATCTTCGCTACATCTGGCCATACATACAATTCAATAACTTATAATTGATTGTTATTTATTTGTAAGGATTTGTACTTAATTTCATCGAGTTATTTTCTCAGGATTTTAAACAAACAAACAAACAACAACAACAACTCCTCACGATTTCCGGAAACGGAAGTCGTTTTTTTTAAATGTAAATTAATAATAATAATAATATTAATTATGTTTTTAATGTATCGTAATAAGCATTACGTTAAGTGTAGGACTTTCACACACAACGTACGAAGTAAAAAAGGTGATTAAATAATAATTTAATTAAAATATCGAGAAAAAAATAAAACGATTTAGTGTGAATACATTTGTTACATATATCCGTGCGTGTGAGTGCGCGACAACCCGCGATTTTGCGACAAAACGAATAAAATTCAAATTTTCTCGCGTTCGTTTGTTAGTTGTACATTTAATTTTTAAATTTGCTTAAAAATCAAATATCACGGTTCAATTTAACACAAACGTTTGTTTGTTTCCACCCCCCCTCTCACCCCTCACCTTCCCCTCCCCACCCACGATCAATTATTATCATTATTTAAATTTTTCCTCACAAAAAACCGTTAACGTATTATAAAAATTTCAACTATTTATTCCTATAATAAAAAAAAAATTGTTATTATTATTATTATGTATGAAATAAATTAAAGTTTTTGATTCGTATATATATATCTATATGAATGTGTGATGTAATTATTTATTAAATAATTAACATACATATATTATTATTATTATTATTATTATTATTTTTCACGGTTAAAATTCTTCTTTACATATTAAAATTAACATAATAAAAATTTATCTGAGATCTTTATCACATATTTTCCATCATTTAGTATCATTATTATTAGTATTATTATTTCAATTTCTCGTTTGTTCTTGAGTTGTTTCCGATCTAGGCACTAACAAGCAAACATCTAACAAACAAAATGTACTCCTGCACATAGGACAAGTACATTTCGAAGACAGCCAATTTTCTGGTTTATCTTGATCTTGCCTAGATGCAAACCATTTTCCTAAACAATCTTCGCACCATAGAGGCTTGCAGTAGCACATGGTGCACTTATTTACACTCGATGTATCTCCGCAAGATGTCATTAATTTAACATTTGGCTCTGTCAATAGGCAACCAATGCAAACATCAAGGTTCTGTAAAAAAATAAAATTAATTTTGTGTTTTAATTAATTAAAAATAAAAAACAAAATTATTTCATTTATGAAAATAAAAGTAAAATATTTATACCTCTGGTGCTAAAACTGTTGGATTTTGTTTGATTTGTTCTTTGAACACAGTTAAAAAGCTATCCGTCAAATTTTCAAGCAATACAACATTTGTTAATATATGTATGGGCCTTATCATTTTTTCTTGAAGATCTTTAAAATCAGATGAGTTAATTCTAAAATTGTAAAAAATTCAAATTTGTTTTAATCAAAAGTTGAAATCCTTCAAAAAAACTTCATCGTTTTGATGTCAAATACCTTATTTGAAAAGATTCAACATTTGGCCTGGTGCTTTTCACATCAATTGTGAGACATTGACTACCTTCAGGTCTGTTAGGCACATACAAATGTGAATCGCAAGCACTTACGCTCAATGAAGCATCACTTTGATGAGCTAAATTTAAATTATAAGGAGAAACTTTAACTATCCAATTATCTGTAGCTATTATTTTAGTCAAGGCATTGATTTTTATAATTATTTTATTTACACTAAAAAATAAAATTATAATTAATAAAATTGTAAAAGAATATTGAGACTTTTTCGGTATATATATATCACCTTTTGTATTCGCTATTAATATCATAGACAATTCTATTCAAGTCACCATCTCTGTTTGTGAATTTTTTAAGCGTTTTTACAATTGGATGATTATTCCAATTTGGATAATACCAATTATAAATCTTGCATCCGATAATAATAGGAAATGTCAAACATGTTACCATTAAAAAATCTAAAAAAATTGTTTTGTCCCATAATTTATTATCAGATATAATATATTATGGGACAAACTTTCCAG